TGACCTCTTATCCCTTACGATTTTCATCCTAATCTTTGATTACTTATCTTGCCTTATAAATGAACTTTTTAGGCAAACTCCCACTTTGTGTTATGCTCATAAATCCAATACTTTGGTAACACATTTGGCGTATGTGGATGATATTATTTTGTTTTCTAATGCTAGTTACAAGCGGTAAGGAAAATATATCGGTTACTGGAAGATTTCCAATCTGTTTCTGGGCTTCTATTTAGTGCAAATAAATGTCATTTATGGCTAATGCACGTTGGATTGCCAATTTCACTAGTTTCTCTGTCTCTACTCTCCCGCTAAAATATCTGAGGGTTAACTTACTCAAGGGCAGAAAAAGACAGACTCAGTTTGATGAGGTGGTGGAAAAGGTGTGGAAAAGAATTTTTGATTGGAAAAACAATTTCCTATCATTTGGTGGTCGAATTACTATGCTTAAGAGCATCCTGCAATCTCTTCCTTTGTATGCTTTACAAGTCATCCAAATCCAAAAGAGCATCCGATTGATCCTTGAAAGATTGTTTAACAAGTTTTTATGGGTAAAAAATCACTCTGGTAGAAGATGGATGTCTTGAAAGTATATTAGCAAACCAACTTATGCTGGTGGTTTGGGGTTCAAATCACTTCATCACATTGCTGATATAAATCTTTTTAAACTTTGGTTTAAATTTCGGAAAGGGGACTCCCTATGGGCTATGTTAATTGGCGGTTGGGTGACTCTAGGGTGTGGAAGAGATTGCTTCAAATTAGAGAATGGGCCAAGGATTTCATTTACTAGGAGGTGGGTCGTGGGAACATTTCTTTTTGGCATGAAACTTGGTCCCATGTTACGCTAGACTTAAGGGATGCGCGATATGCTAGCCTTCTTGTTTGTGACACGTGGGTTGATGGTAATTGGAATTTTCTTCTTCTTGTCAGTCTGGTGTAATCGGAGGGGGCTAATTTTATTGCTTCAATTCCTTTGGAGCCTCATTCGCAAAACACTCCGACTTTGAAATTGTCCTCCTCATGTTCAGTCACCAAGTCCTTATATTCTGCTCTACATAATTTTAATAAAATTTCCTGGGGAGAGAGTGTTTGGAGTTGGGCTTTAACTCCCTCCATGTTCTTCTTGGCTTGGAGGATCTTTCACTTTGTTATTCCTTGCGACGATATTTTGAAATTGAAGGGGTTGAGACTTGCTTCGCTTTGTTTGTTGTGCAACGCGTCAAAGGAGTCTAGTGGCACCTTTTTTTTATGTCCTTATTCACGGTTTATTTGGCGGAAGGTTGGTCTTTGGTTTGGTATTAATTTGTCTCCTGGTCAGAATCTACTTGGCACCATTCAAGTTTGTAACCCGGATCGGAAACATAAACATTTAAATAATTTAGTCTTACATTATTTGTTGGTTTATTTGGATGACCCGTAATGATATCAAGCATGAGGGTAAAATCATTCTGAGTACAAAGGTTTTTGCATATATCATTGCTTATGCTAACAAATTTTGTAAGGTGGGAGTTGCTAAAGATAGGTTTTTCTCGGGCATTTCATATTTTGAATCTATGAGGCTAGCGGTTATGGTTGGGGGGAGGATACCGCAACTCCCAGTTTTGGTGAGATGACGGCCTCCTCCCACAGGGTGGGTGAAGATTAACACCGATGAGAGCTGAAAAACTTGCAATGCTGGTTGTGGGGGCATTGCTAGGAATAATGTCGGGGACTGTATTCTCTTCTTTTCTTCTCCCTGCTTCTCTGATACTCCTCTTGAAGCGGAGGCTAGGGCCATGTTGATGGCTGTCATGATTGTTTATCTCTTAATTGGCAGCTTATTATCATTGAGAGTGACTCCCGTATTTTGGTTGATATTCTTGCTAGTGGGGCTGATGCACCATGGGATATTCTCTATTGTATTAAGAGAATTAAACTCATATCCTCTCATATTTTTGTGGATGCTCCTTATGTTTGTCGTGATTGCTCCTGGTAGCCTGGCCTTTTGGTTAACCTTATTTATCTGTATTTAGTTTCATATGAGTTTCTTGTGCCATTTTTTTGCACATTACTCTGATCAGTATATGGTTAATTTTATGGTAGAGATTGTCCTCTCATGGTTACGGGATAATTTTCTAGTATGGAAGCATTTGGCTAGTTTGGGGTCGGTTCTTGTACTTATCCCCTTTTCTACTCATACTATTGATTCTATTATTGTTTCTGTTTTTTGCTCTATGGTATTAGGCTGTTTTGTTATTGTCACTGCCTGTTTGGTTTCGACATCTGGGTCCCTCTCTTGCCCGGTTATGCTATTGCTCTATCTCTTCAATTACTGTTGGTTGGCTTACTGTTTTCGCTCCTTCTGGCTGAGGCTTCTGCTTGGCAAGGACTGCACCGTGGTGTACTGGAGTTTCGTCAAGGCTCACTCTTTTCTCCATGTATTCATGAGGGCTCTTATTGTGATTGGATTGGGTTCCCTTGTTCTTACTTCTATACGCTTTGGTTTTCTTTGCTTCGGTGTACATGCTATACATTTTGGTTCTCTTTTGCTTCGGTATAGATGTATGGGTTTAGTTGTTTAGTAGGGCTGTCAAAACGGCTCGTTTTCAGCTCGTTAATAAGCTCATGTTCAGCTCGTTAATTTTGTTCGATAAGTTAACGAGCTGAACACGAACTAAGATGTGTTCGTACGTGTTCGGCTCGTTTTGGCTCGAAATACTACTCATCAAGTTTATATACATATATATATATATATATATATATAGTAGTATTTTAAAGAATCTAATTGAGTACAAGGCTACAAATATTTATAATCAATTAAAATATTGATTAAGAAAATAGAATAAAAATTATTAAATTAGATTCAAATGATGTTTTAATATAAATAATAATTTTTAAATCTTGCTCAAACCCTTATTGTCTTGTTTTATGGCTAAACAATTATGGGTGTTTAA